CAATGCATACCTCATTGCCGTCGATGTCTTTGGCGGAGAAGTCGTACACACTTTTCGCTGTCTTCGGATCATTGGTAGCCATAGTTCTCGCAAACAATGTTAACCCTATGGGCACTGGTTTTACCGTAAGTTTACTGGTGTTGACAATAGGTCTGGTCGTCGTAAGCGATCGTAAACTTGCGATAACTGTTGCGACGGGTTTTAGCGGTGAGACTGGTCTCGAGATGTTTAACAATACTATGCGCTGCGCCGTAGAGTGTATGCACTTTATATACATAGGTGTATATAATGCCAGGAAATTATTAATTATGGTTAAAGTGAGAGAGAAATAGTGAACAAACAACTATCGAAATCAATACATACAACGCTGTGCTGTCAGTGATTCATGCGTTGTTAAAGTCCGGTGACTAATAGTGCACTTTTTGTAAATGAGCTATGTGCATTATTTTTATCATGTTTGTAATTTATGGTAGTTTTAGTCCTTTTTGTCAGTTGTTTTATATGTATTTCAATGTATAGCTATTGTATACAATGGGACTGAATGTCCTTTGAGTGTCAGTTATAGTGTTATGTCTATGGAGGCGATTGTTAGCCGCCTTTTGCACTGACTTTGCACTGAAATGAATGGCAAATATGTTTTTGTCTGAAACACTGTCTATAGATTACGTCAGTTATTATTATTGCATCACTTATTGCAAGAACTCTACATAAAGTGTTCACAATATATATGTATTTTACCCTCATTTGTACTGATAATTATATTAACTGAACAAGCTTAAATGTAAACAAATTAGTCACGTTTATAATTACTGTAAATAATTAAGATTAATGTGATTTAAATAATCATGTTGGTTATTTGCTTATTGTAATTAAAGGCAAACATGTAAACGTATACAACAAACCGGCCGTAGTTTATGTACTATTGTATACTAACGTACACTATGTTAACACTATGGGAGGTCTGTATTATAAAAGGTCCTAAACGTACGCTTTTACGTACACTATATTATATATAAATAACTGTTTGCACAGTACGTGTAAATTAAAATTTTGTTTACTGTTGGTAAAAAATAGCTAAAAATAAATTAAACTACACTTTAAAATAGCTGTGTCACTTTAGACATTGTACCCTGGTGGTTAAGTTAGTTAGCTAATTACACTAGCGCTAATTTTATTTGTCGATTAAATAGTATCGTACGATATTTTATTGACTAATATTAATACCGTGTTGTTTGAATCATAACAGCAAACTTGAGTTCAAAGTGTGAAAAGTTTTTAATCTGTGTTTTATTTACTTAATTGAATTCAATATTGAATAAGAGTTTTAAAATTAAAGTTCAAACAATGAGTGTCTCGGCCAACAAATTGACTCAACTTTTTCTCACGTTATTCCTATGGGAACTGGCCGTCAGTACAGCCGCGGCAGCCGATAGTAAGGACTGGAAAAATGCGAAAACACTGTACGAGTTCACTGGCGTGAAGGACATTGACGGCAACGATGTATAAATTATTTACCATATTTGTTTACCGTATTCTAATTAATTCTAATTGCTCTAACCTAGGTCAATATGGGGAAATACAAGGGCCACCCGGTGCTGGTGGTGAACGTGGCGTCCAATTGCGGCCTAACCGACACAAACTACCGGCAACTGCAAGCCCTGTACGCCCAGTACGAGCCCAAAGGGTTACGTGTGTTGGCGTTTCCCACCAACGAGTTCCTGAGTCAGGAACCGGGCACTAATACCCAGATCAAAGAGTTTGCCCACACGTATAATGTGACGTTCGATATGATGGCCAAGATTAAAGTGAATGGTTAGTTAATTGTCGTACCTGTAGGTGCCTGTAGACATTGTATAACCCCCTTTTAGTTACATAGTTTTCAAGATGTTTATGTGTTTTAATTGAGAGTGGTTAGATTTAAATTTTAAAACTATAAGTTACATGGTACAAACTGTTTGTTTGTTTTGTTTTTTGCTACTGTAATTAAGGTATTTTTATTTATTATCTAGGTGACGACGCCCACCCCCTGTACAAGTGGCTAAAAGAGAAACAAGGTGGTTATCTCGGGTTCGATGGGATCAAGTGGAATTTCACCAAGTTCCTAATTGACCAGAAAGGGATCCCCATTAAACGCTATGCGCCGACCATTTCGCCGAACGACATCGAGTCCGACATTAAGTCCCTGTTATATAAGGAGTTGTGATAAATACGCGTACAAAATGCCAATACACGTCTCATAAATTTTTTTAATGACATTTATTTTACCGGTATTTAATACTTTGTTTAATTATGTTTTTTGGAATAAATAAGTTATTTTGATAATTCTGTGAATTTTTTTTATACTTTTATGGCATAACATTATTTATTTAAAATACATTCTTTAATTTAATATTATTATAAATGTTTATCATGTTAACATTTTTCTTATTAGAGTTCATTACTAATGAATCATTAGTTATATTAATTTTAGTGATTATTATTACAATTACTTATTTTTAAATGAACATAGTTTTTAAAACTTGAAAACTAAATGTGACATGGTAAATGATTTATAAACTCATTGCCAAGTTATAAACATTACAAAGTGACCAAGTTATAAAACATTGTATGACAATCAAATGACCACTCAATAAGTAATTGAATAGTTTTGTAATTTATTTAACGATAGAGTGATTGTATTTAACACTCATTCCTTCGCAACTCTTACTGATCACTAGTTTTCACATCACTTTTGCCACACGTTTTGTTTAATTCTATTATAAAATAATTAAGATATTATTATTAATTAATTAATTATGTATTGTGTTCGGAATCAAGAAATAAAATGTAAGTTATATTTAAAGTTATAAATTTACAAATTATTGACACAAATTAAATGAATCCGAGGCAAACAGAGTGAGTCTTCTTGTAATGTATTTTATTATAACCTATTTATAAACATAGTGTATAAAGGTAATACCCAATACTCAATATAACCAATACTCACTTTTGCCCTGCTCAAATATTGCTTTACATTACAAGAAGACTCACTCTGTTTGCCTCGCATTCAATTATATAATTTTAGTTAAATATTACATAAATTGTTTAATTAAAAGTGTATTTCTATTTGAGTTCACAATTAAATGATAACAGAATAAATATTTACGGGTAATAAATTTCAGTTAATAAGTCTGATTCATAATATAACTAAAAGCGTATTCAATAATAACAAGCAATTACTTTGTCGTCTATAATAAACAAAACTTTATAATTAATGATTTTTACGCCGTTTATGTTGTCTTAAGTCGTTTGTATTGACAAACCATTTGTCGCACTTCTCGCACGTGACGGACACCGGCGGTGATATAGAGTGGACAGACATCTGGTGTCGGAGCAGTGTTACCTCTCTGGCAAAGTGTTGGCCGCACTCATCGCACGTAAACGGGTTGGGCATCGGCTGCGAGTGGACAGTGTATTGATGGCCAATCAGTTGCCGTCGAATGTAAAACTCTTGGTCGCAGGCAAACTGCGGCCGCGGGTGGACTGACTCCCTGTGCCGGTCGCGGTGTGTGTCCGTCAGAAACCAGAGATTACACGCTCCGCACGGTATGAATGGTGTGGACGGGTGTCGGCTCCGCAAGTGTTGGGCCAGTTCTTCGTTCGTGACGTACGGTTCGCCGCATTTGTGGCACATATACTCACGCAGTGACCGCAGTGTTCGTATGCATTCGAGCTTATGGTCCGCCCACTGGTCGACCGTATCGAACGAGTGCTCGCAATGGCCGCACGGGTGCCGCCGATCGACGGCCACTTTGTGGGCGTTCCTGAGGTGGCCGTCGAGTCCGATCTGCCATATGAACCGTTGACCGCAGCCGTCGACACCGCACGTGTATAACGAGTCCGAATAGTGACTAATGACCATCACTTCTGGCTCACTGTCGGCCGATTCGTGTCCACTATTTTCATCACTACTCGTATCGGAGATACTAATTGTGGACAAAAATTATTGCATAATTAATACACTGTTTATCAACTGTTATTAAAATGATTACTCAATGATTGTTGGCATCGATGTGTGGCCAGTGATGGGTCGCGTCCGCACTAAGCGCTTATAAGCCGGCAATTCATCGATTACTTCGACCTCAGAGTCCAAAGTACTGCATATATAATGAGATAAAGTAAACATTTAATGATAAATGGCTTCAATCAATGGTTAATATACCTGTTATTTGGTTCAGTGGTGGCAGTCGTCGGGCAGTAGCGCTGCGACGGTCGGGAGAATTGGGTCACCGGTAGGACAGTCGCGGGCGCTATCGGTATATAATTAGATACAGTAGTCTCCATAGCAACGGACGGGCCATTAACTTCTGTCGCAATGGGCGCCTGTAGTACACGAGTGGCCGCCTCCGAGTGGACAGTCAGCCGATGCTGTTTAAGTGAATAGTTGTGGTAAAAGCGTTTGGCACAGCAGTCGCACCGGTATTGTCCGCTCACCGCCTGATGGACGCGAAGGCGGTGTCTCTTCAGACCGCGTGACGTACCAAACGATTTGCCGCACGAGTTGTGCGCACAGACGTACTGTTTGGTGGCCGCCGTCGCCGAGTGAACGGTCCGCCGCCGATGGCTTCTGAGACCAGGTTTGGTGACAAATATTATGTAGCATTTGTCGCACACATGACCCGTGCGATTGGCCGCACGGGTGGCGCCGGCCGTGTCATCAATACGAAGGGTGTCGTAACCGTAGCCGATGGTAGACGTCGTGCCCTTACGGACAGCCATTTGGTGTGCGTTTAACGTGTATTCTGTGGTAAACTCGAGGCCACAGCCGGTGATAATGGATCGATGTATTGGCGGACAAACCGTTTGACTGGAAGTCGTCGGGAGAGCACTGACGACGTGTTGGCGGCGTTTATGAGTGGCTAATAGTGTTGGAGTGACGAGACATTTGTTGCACTCATTTTAATCGCATTTCAATCACTTCTTTGGCCACAATTGTCACGAAAGTCTGTTTCAAAGACACAAACATTTTAACCACAATTGAACGCATCGTTTGTCACAATCCATACAAACCTATCACTCGATGACATCCACAACAATATGAAGACAACACTCACGAAGACATCACTACTTGTGTCCACACAAAACCAATGACAGAGTAAATGATTTACAAATCAATTAATAAATGGTTTTCGTTATGAAATTCAAATCAAAACAACATGTGATTCAAAGTTTTCAAATACTTTTTAAACGTTAATAAATTACAACTCATTATTATTTTCTCAATCAATACAATTCAATGGCAATGTGTTTAACATTAATGGACGTAATATATGGCCAAATTATAACAATATTGCATTTGCGGCAAAACTAACAAACGTCGGCTACAGTACAGTAGACACCACTTACAGTGCTATCCATTATATAGTAACCAATGCTCGGGTATAATACGGGCGGTACTATTGGTCTGTGGATCAGACTATCGGTGCTCTCAATACCCCAATATCTAGGATTTGTTATTTAAATTTGGTTTTATTTTATAGATGTATTTTTAACAAAATTGTGTAATATTTGAAATCATATAATCCCTGAATGTCTAATTAAAATATGAAAATTATTATATTTATGCGTACATCCACATAAATCGTTTAGAAATTTTATTTTTATTTATAGGCTTTTGGTTTATAATCATTAGTTTATTCATTCAGTTTAAGTCATCGATATTGGGATTAAATTATATTTTATATGAAAGACAATTGATCTTTATTAAATATATTTATTTATTTTAAATTATAGTCTTATGTAATTATATATGTAAATTAATCAATATCAATTATTAATACTATTTGTCTTAACGCATCATAGTTACCTGTCACCCTTGTTGATTTCAATAGAAATGATAAAATCATTAATTATCAATTGAATCTATAATATCATTACAACAAATATTATTACATCAATGGACAATAATAAATATATGCCATTATTTCAAATGTCATGTTTCTGTAATTTATACATGTATTAATAACTTCATAAATAATTCACAATTTATTACAATATAATTACTTTTTTGTTTTATGTCAGTTGAATATAAATTGAAATATAAATAATTTATTATTATTGTTATCACAATATGAGAGTAGTATTGATATGAATATAATTGTATGTCTTGTCTGACGAATATCTTATCGTGAATATCAAACAAATAATATTTTATTGTTATAATATTTTAAAACTAACCATGGTAAATTTAATAGTTAAGTTATGGACTAAATTATCTATAGTTAAATGCATAATACACTTACTATTTGCATATCAAATATATAACGAAACCGACAATTATTTAAGTTATGAAGTGATCAATGATTTAACGTTTGACAGAAATAGCGATCAATCGGTGTTTCGGCCGTCGATTACGGTATGTGTGAAGAGACAGCACTCGGGGCTCAACCGGAACCGATCGGAGCGGCAATTATGGGATAAAATTAAAATAGATTGTGAGTTAACAAAAAAAGTGGGCAATACTACCAAATGTAATGCCCTGTTCCCGGTGTACGTACGTCAGCGCCGGGACACTAGCGTATGTATCACCCATTTGAACGCCCGACTCAACGAGACTGTACTCAAAGCATTTTATTCAACCAATATTAAATTATACAATATTGAGAGAGCATCGGTGACCGTGTACCCGGTCAACGAGCTACCACATTTTAATAGAATGAACCATATGCACGGGGTCAATAAACTATTCTCACCTGTCATTGATGCTAAGCTAATAGTACTATTGCCCCGACCCTATCAGTCGGACTGTCGGCAGTACTCAGACGGCAGTGCAGGCAATGGGGACCCAAAATCTCGGTCCGAGTGTATGGTTGAGGCGATGGCCCGACAGGAACGGCACACGTGTGGGCACAACCGGTACTGGAGTTGGAGTCGATTGGCTCCCAATGAGAGCATAAGAGATATTGTTAACCGTATAAACACATCGGATGCTCAGACAGACTGTTACGTGAGACCCGACCCGAGAGCTTTGCACAGGGAGTGTAAAATTGGTTGCGATTATTACGAAAGAAGTGTTGCATGGTCAAATTCAAATTTAAACGCGCATCATGCTGCTTCCAGTATTAAATTAATGCAAATAAGTTTTTTGTGCAAACGATACGTAAGTATGGTGTGGCGGCTGTTTCCCAAAATGTCAATTGTCGACTACCTGTGCTCTGCGGGCGGCCTAATGGGCATGTATTTGGGACTCAGCATCGAGTCGGCCCTAACCCTCGTTATCAACAAATCACAAACATATGTCCGACGACTCACTAATCAAACAAATCCCGTAATGTATCGCAAAATTACTCCCATTTGTAAATCACTGCAAATATCATCAGTTATGGTCTGTTTGGTCTTAATGTATGTGCAGGTAATTGAAATTTATGACGATTATTTTACTTACCAAGTTAAAACAACCGTTGAATTAACACCAAGGGTACGCATTCCAGCCCTCGTATTTCCCATACGTGTTAAAGATTATTATATAAACAATAATAAATTAAATCGTGGTAATTTATTAATAAATTATGCGTTCAAATCGGTGCTGCGCGTGAACGACCTAGAGCTATTTAAGCGCAATGTCTACGATTACAGCCAAAGTGTTGTAGCATGTTACTTTGAATTCGCTGGTGGCGAACGGGTCAACTGTCCCACACATAACACGTCCATCTATTTTAGCGGCAGTAAAACATCGTTAATATATAACACATTTTTTATGCACGACTCGGGCGTAACGACTAAACTTAGGGCTAAACTATTGAGCAAAAACTTTCTACGGGTTGCCATCGATCACAAAAGTGCTAACATTTCAACGTTGTCGGTGTACGCGATGAACGAGTGGCATCAGGGCTACTTGGTCGATTTAAATGCCGAGTATAACATCATGTTTACCCGACAGTCGTTTCATCAATTACGGCGACCGACGTATCGGTGTTTGACTGAAAATATTACTTTATTTATCAACGGTTGGCACTATTGGCGTATAAACGAGTGCATTAAGCGCCGGGTGTACCCAATCAACAACTGTTATCCGTTATATAACTATCATTATATCGTTGATATTGAGAATGACATCGTGCGCTCCGGGAGGCAATTCTGCTCCCATCGTTATCATAATAAAACTTATTTTTGGTCCATGTTAAAACAATGTCAACAATCTATTTTGGATACGTGTCTGTATCGGCCAATTGGGTTACATGCACTCAAAGTGCGCGACGGGTTACCCGGTGTGACCAGGGTTAATTTAATCCCAACTAGATATTTTGAGCCCGTAATCTCTGAACAATTGGCTACAGATTTGATGGATGTTTGGTATAATATGGGCGGTACTATTGGTCTATGGATTGGGCTATCCGTGCTTTCAATACCCGAATACATGTGTAACATATATTTAAAATTAATATCAATTTTAATTTATATCAAAATTCTGTAAAATGTTTCCAGAAATTAAATTACTAAATTATGTAATTCTTTATTAAAATTTTACGTTGTACATATTGCACAAAAATTATATAAAGTTGCTTGAATTGAATTATAAATAATAAATACGACTATAAATAACATTGGAATATGATTGTTTTATTTATTACAAACGATCACGCACATTGTCGATTAGGCATTCAGTGTAATAATTTAATAAAATATATTATGCAAAATTACATAACTTACTTTCATGTTAATAAATACTGTATTTTAAGTTCAAACCAAGTTCCTTTTAATATGACAAAATATTTTCTATTTTTAAAGCATTTTTAGATTTAGCCCACAATATATAAATTGTACTGAAATGGCACTAAAATTGCACTTAATATAGTGCAAAATTATTAGTATATAAAGCAAACTGCACACTGCAAAAATTGTTATGACTATTTTATCGTTACATGAATTTATCACATAACATCTGATTAAATTTATTAAGTACTCGTTTGATTAAAATTTATATTAATATAAGTTTTGTTTAAATTTTAATTTATTAATAGTTTTTTAAAAATCATTAAATATGTTTAAATCAAATGCAATTATTTTGCTAACAATAGCAATAATATTATATTCAGGCGTTTGTTATGCCATAAGCAATGATGTGTTTAAGGATATGAAGAGTGACCACGATTTTACGGGAAAAGTAGTGTTGACAACTGGCTCCAGCTCTGGCATCGGTGAGGGAATAGTCAAACTGTTCTCACTATTGGGCGCCAATGTTGTGGTCACCGGACGGAAGGTCAGTGAAATCAGTCGTGTGGCCAAAGAGGCTCAACAATTGTCACCAAAAAAACTGAAGGTATTGTGAAAATAGTGTTTGTTTTTACTTATAATCATATCATTTGCTTCACAATAGCCTCTGGAAGTGGTGGCAGATGTGGGTAAAAGTGATGATCTGAAGAGATTATTAAACGAGACGATCAAAACTTATGGTAAATTAGATGTATTGGTCAATAACGCAGGAATCGGTCAATTCATTGGCATAAGAGATCCCAATCTTATGTCAGTGTTTGATAAGACAATACATATAAATTTGCGATCATTTCTTGAGCTCATCCAACTGTCTGTCCCTTATTTGGATCAAACAAATGGCACTATTATTAGTATATCGAGTATCGCCGCTTTCAAACCGGTAAATTTATCATCAAATTTAATTTAATTATTTATAAACTACAGTATATTAATATTATGTCAAAACAGTCTGCATTAGGCTTAGCATATCAGGCATCAAAAGCGGGCGTTGATGTGATGTCCCGGGCGTTGGCCCTGGAGTTGGGACCCAAAATACGGGTCAATGTTATCAAGTAATAATAATTATAGTTTTGCACTTATTGAATTTTAACATTTACTTTAATGATAAAATTTTAACTATTACAATTATCTACTGAAAAGCCCGGGACCTGTGATCACAAACTTTTTTAACAACAACCCTATGGCTAATCCCAAAGCGGCTGAGAAACTATTTTCAAATATGATGTCCAAAATAACAATGAAAAGACTCGGATCGGCGCTCGATATTGCCAAAGGGGTCGTATACCTGGCCTCACCCGACGCTGCTTTTATTACAGGCGCTAATCTAGTCATTGATGGTGGTATACAAAATGCCTAAATCAAGTTATCAACATTAAATATGTGTATATTAAGTTGTTGTATTTTTAAATAAGTGTTTTTATTCTAAGTTTTAAGTTCTAAGATCTTAGTTTTTAGTTAGTTTTAATTTATTTTATATAAATCGATTGGTATTTATTTAATTGTTTTTAGTTCAATAAAGTTTGATTATTTTTAAATTTTTAATTTGCTGTTTTTAATTAAATAGTCAAGAGTCTTGACTCAAGACAATATTTAATAAATATAAAACATTTTACTCAATTAATTATAATGACTTGGATTAAAATTAGATTAAAATTAAATTTAATACAGTCTATACCGGCTATAGGCTAACGGGATATAAGCTAACCCCGGTAATAGGCTGATATTTTTGCTGCACCGGCAGCTCCTATGGACCTTTAATGTTATAAAACCCACTAATAAGCTAATCACT